ATTTTGGCCAAAATTAAGGACTTTTAAGGACCAAAAATCGGTTCCAAAAAATTTAAGGACTCTTAAGGACAGTACAAACCCTGATATATAATAAATTAATGGATTCACTACTAAACAATACATTTAAAACATTCATTTTACACAAGCAATTTTTCAAAGTTGTTTTTTTAATTTAGTAGCTGATAGTTAAAACATTTTATTTTGAAACAACTGCTTTTTTCATAAGAAATTTGACAATGCCAATATTACCATCTTTGGTTGATCTTTACAATATGGTAACTGGTAGTTTGGCGACATTTTGGAGGCGATAAAGGTTACTACCTGGGACTTTGGTAACAATGTGAACAGTACTCACTTCCGATTACGCATTATTTTGTGTGGGGGAAATGAGAGATCATGGGATATGTCATGTGATATTAATGGACGAATTACAGTTCTTTAATCGGAAAAGGGGGGAATTTGGACAAGTATCTGTGGATGTATATTATTTTGTATTAAGCTTCATTGTGTGTTGTGTTGAATAATTTTGGGATTGTATGGCGCTGTCTAAAGTGAATTGTAGATGTGATAAAGAGAATTTTTTTTTTTATCAAATTCTATCAAATTTGGAAAAAAAATCGTTCAGTAATTTTATTGAATCCATAATAAAAGTGTATCCACCATGTAAGGAAGATTCGGAAGATTAGGTTAGTTACACTTTGTTAAGAATGTGAGTAGTATTCAGTTCTGATTACGCATTATTTTGTGTGAGGGAAATGAGAGATCATGGGATATGTTATGTGATATTAATGGACGAATTATAGTTCTTTAATCGGGAAAAAATCTGGCAATTTTGTATTTGGCTTTATTCTGTGTTGTGTGAAATAGTGTTTGTGAATTTTTGGATCCCATGGCCGTAACTAAAGTGAATTCGAAATGGGTATTTAGTGGTATTGAAAAGGATAGTAATAAATGTTTTTTAAGGTTGTGTGCGAGAGAGAAATAAGATGTTTTTATTATGTTATTTATTTTACCTGGTATCTTGCTTTGAAAGATAAGTATGATTTTAAAGATTCTGAAACAGAAGTAAGAAAAGTGTATCCGCCACGTAATCAAGATTCTGAAGAAGATTAGGTAAGTTAGTATTTTTAATTATATGAGGATTTTATTTTTATGCAGTGTTGTAAATGTAAAGTGGAAAGGAATTTGGTATTATTGGGAAAATTGTTATTAGCAATGATTTAGTTTAAAGTAATTAGGATTGTAAGGTAATTTTTATTAATTTAATGTATGTGCTCATTTATATTTTAAGTAGTGTTTTTGAATTTAATTATATTTTAATGAAATGATAGTTATTTTGTGAATTTTATGCTTGTAGGAATTTGGTATACGTTTAAGTTGAAATAAACGTGCATGGAAATAATTTAAATATTTGATATTAAGTATTTGTAATGCTTGAGGTATGAATTCGTTGGTGACATGTATAATGTAATAGATGATTTAGAGGTAAAAGTTTTTGGATATTCTATTTATTTTATATGTGGAAATGTTGATATTTGTAAAGGGTAAATACTTTTTCGCGATCATGGTAATTTCATATATGTTCTTTTTACCGGTTTAAAGATTGAGAAAATTGTCATGTATTTTCGTGAAATTTTTTCTAATTTATGAGAAAAAGCAGTGTACATGGATATAGTGAAGAGTGTGCACAATGCCATTTTTGTGCAATTCTGGGATGTTTTTTTAAGTAAAAAAAATAAGTCGACGTGTACATGGTTTAGTGATATTTTAATAATGATAGTTATTTTGTGAATTTTATGCTTAGGAATTTGGTATACGTTTTAAGTTGAAATAAACGTTGGAAATAATTTAAATATTTGATATTAAGTATTTGTAATGCTTGAGGTATGAATTCGTTGGTGACGTTTATATGTAATAGATGATTTAGAGGTAAAAGTTTTTGGATATTCTATTTATTTTATATGTGGAAATGTTGATATTTGTAAAGGGTAAATACTTTTTCGCGATCATGTAATTTCATATATGTTCTTTTTACCGGGTTTAAAGATTGAAAAATTGTCATGTATTTTCGTGAAATTTTTCTAATTTATGAGAAAAAAGCAGTGTACATGGATATAGTGAAGAGTGGTGCGCAATGCCATTTTTGTGCAATTCTGGGATGTTTTTTTAAGTAAAAATAAGTCGGCGTGTACATGGTTTATGTGTATGTGTTATTTTGAAAAACGCGTAAGGAGTATGGTATTGTGCACTTTTTCCCAATTTTGCAGTGAATATTTGTCATGATTAAGCAGTTTTGTTTAATAAAATTTCTAACATAAGTGTAATTCGGCTAGTAGATTGTTGGAAGAAGTGTTCAGTAGATAAAAACATGTCTTTCGTGAAGACAAAATGGCGGCGGGGAAAAAAGAATAGAGGGTTGCTGTAGGAGAGTTGGTTGCCAAATTTTCGCCAAAAAATCGCCAAGTTACCATAATGTAAAGATCAACCAAATCTTTTAAAGTAGCATTGTAAATAAAACTAAAAAAGAACATTATACATTTTGTTATCTTTCAAGAGTCATTCAAACTTTGATTAATTACTCAAAGCAGTGGTTTACTAACTTTGATGATCCTAATAAGTACATAAAACTATTTTGTCATCTAAGAGAACCAATAATACTCTTTATTTCATTCTAATCATTTATTGTATATAAACACCTAGCATCCTCTGTAAAGTAATTGTTAAAATACATTAAAAATATATCAAAATTTTAAGCATGAAAACTGATTTAATTCTTATTATTTCATATAAAAATAAAACAATTATTTAAAATGTATATTATTGTGGCTGACGTTAATAATGTTTTAGGAATCGGCCACCCTATGGTTCTGCGTGTTAAGAATTACATCAGAACATAGCCATACTATTTTAAATGGCTATGTTATCGATTATCATTCACCCGCCGTATTTTTACCACCTTACCCGTTAGTGACGCACAATTATCCAGCAGCAAAACGGAGCCCCGAACAGACGAAAACACAATCTTTAACCAGGTTGCTACCTCTGAAAACCGAATTCACCGGGTTACCAGGTTTGAACTATTATCACTATTTTTGGCAATGTATACATTTAATGGATCCTTCGCGGAAGTGCTTCTGATTGTAGATTAAAAAATTAAAAAGAAAAATGGTACGTTTTTGTTTTGCCGGCGCAGGCGATAAAATCTCCAATAATGGTACAGCTGATGCCAAATGGAATATTCATTTTCAAAACAAGTCACAGCCATTTCTTATCACATTGATTGTTTTCAATACTGGCATACAATTACATAGAATTTTTACCAATTTCATGCCCTAAGGCCATTCATGGTAATTAAGTCAATTAGGATGCAATCACAGTGCTCACCCGAGGGCGAAAATATAGAAAAGGCAAAGGGTTAAATTCATCAATTCTAACGTCTTTTTACAAATTTATTGTCTTTACTTATTTAATTTTTATAAAATTTTAAACGATATTAAAATGTTTATGCCTTCAGAATAAAAAATTCCTAGAACTAACATCTGTTAAAATTTTTTCTGCGTATACTGTATGTTGTCGCCAATAGTCTGCTTGGCGAGATTTGCGCGGGTGAAACAGAAAAGTACCAAAAAATTTACCCAGAACTATTTTTTTTTAGTCTTCTGAACTTTATTTTTATACTTGGCAACAACTGGTGGCAAAAAAAAGTGGTGCATTTTTAACTGACACTGCTCCAAAGGAATAGTACCGAAAATACAATATGACACTTGGAATTCAGCCAGAGCATGTTTCCAGTACTCCTTGATCTTTGAATAAAATCAAAAATGACATTTTAGTTTTTATTTATTTGTCAACAAATTTAATTTTTAAATTCAGCCAGAGCCAGCCAAAGTGTGTTTTTAGTACTTCTTGATCTTTGAATAAAATCAAAAATGATATTTCTGATATTTTAGTTTTTTTTATCTATTTGTCAACAAATTTAATTTTTATTTAACATTATTTATTAAATTTTGCTGACTGTGTACTTCTAATTTTAGAACTTACACCCTACTTGTGGCAAATGAAAACATTTCTATTTTACACAAAACAGTTACAGATATCCATTCTATTATCATGCATCATTATAGTGAGAAATTTTGAGATGAATCAATGACAAAATTATCAAAATTAAGGATGTACTCTAATGAATGCAAATGATACATTCAATTCATACCATTTAACCAGAATGAAGTATATTTTTAATATGGGTTCTAATGATAACAAATAAAACAGTTTTATTCTGCTATACCAGTCAGTTTTACAATATCATTGATATCACAAGGAGAATAAAACAAGATATAAAAAAGAATCATTTTTAAGAGGAAATACTATATTTACGCAAATCTGACTTCATATTTTTAAGTAAAAATACAAGAATTATTTTTTTACGCTCGGCTAATGTTGCATACTCGGATTGGACAACAACGCTGAAGGACAAAAACAAAGTGCTGAAAAGACTAATCTTCTGTAATTCAAGTAAAAATAATAAGTATCGTAATGAAAAAGTAATCGCACGAAAAGAAACAATCGCACACGTCTGGATAATCTGAAATTTACGGTTCCCATGGTAAATCTAAAATATGTTCTTAATATCTGAAATGCACTTAGAACATTGTTACACAATACACTCTAATTAGCATAGCTAATTCCGTCTTCGAATTTACAAGCTGTGGAATATCAAGGAAAAAATTCTGCGCTTTCTGATAATTAACAGACATTAAATGCTAATTTTCGAGCACAAGAAAAAAATGTGTATATAACATGTGATCACAAGGAAAACAAAAAAGCGTGTCCAGAATGAAATTGAAAGGACTGGTGCAACTGTAGGAAAATTGCGATCTAAGCCTGATAAGACTAATTCTTTAATCGATTCCCTATGTAATCAAAACTTAATATAAACTCCGTGACTCTAAAAAATTATCATATGCGAACTTTGTAATTTTGATTTCATATGAATCACATACCTGGAAAAGCTGTGGGAAAGACAAAGGTTGGGGTACACACTACTTGCTCAGGAGTTGAAGCCATTTTTCCCCCCCAGTTCCAGTGACAGATGCCATCAGTCCATAAAGTCACTGAAATATCAAGAGGCGATGATGTAATTTAACGAAAACCAAAACGAAAGAAAAAAATTTTTTAAATCAAATGCTGGCTGAGATAACTTTTATTTCCTTACTTGTATATTTGGTTAGATAATAATTTTTTCTTCTGCGAAATGTTGTTTCAAAAGTACAGATACTGGAGATTTTATTTTTATTTTATTATTAATATTATAAAAACGAGCACTTGTTATTTCAGTACAAAGTAGGTACACTAAGTTCTAAGATTTTTAGCTCTTTTTAGTATCACATAGCAGTGAGTCTCAAACAAAAGTAAACTCATCTGTTGCAACTAATAACTCAGCTCTTGCAAACACTCAGTTCTTATCTTCTTATCATTAGAACACTATGTTTTAGATCTTGCCTTTTTTACTAAAATGACACCAAGTGTGAAAAATTAAACAAACAACAGAATTCTCTGACTCACGAAACAATAAATAATTACCAATAAAATAATTCAAATAAACAATAAGGAAAGTAGCTTTAATTTGAAACGAACTGACTAATAAAAAAATAAACATTTAACTCTTCTCTGATGCCACACTTTTGACCAAAATTTTTAATAAGTTCGCGAATTTTGTATTTAGATAAGTAATTTTAGCAGAGTTATAATTAAAATTGTTGTACTTCCTCGCGCAAAGCAGCACCAGACAAATTTTAAGAGAAAGCTATGCCGGGAAAGTAAAAACACAGGAGCACGTGCATTTAACATTGAGTAAATAGATATCTCGGTAATTTTGTATTGAAATTGAATAAATGTAATTGACCACTATGTTAGTTCGCTTTCCTAAATAAGTTTTTGCACATCTCCACTACAGTGTCTCGTCCATCAAAGTGAAGGCTTTCCTGTCTCGGCATAAGTTGATGTATATTGCATATCAATAGATAATTGGTCAGCGAGTTAGGTATTATAGAACGTGTCTTAGAAACGTTTCCTAATTTAAAAAGAACTGAATTTTAGTTTTCCCATTCGATTAAAAATTGTAAGACCTATTTCCAAGTGCTACTAAAGAGCTGAAATGCAGAAATCAGAACTTAAATTTACAATGTATTCACATGTCTGATAGACACACATTTTTATTCAGATAATTTGTTTTGTTTTCCAGAAATTTTCTTTGTATTTTTCTTATAAAGTTAATTAAGGCTTTTAATTATATACAAAAATTTCATCTTCATTTCTTTAATTCATGTGATGTCAGACACAGTAGCGTAGCTAGAGAGGGGCTGATTCGCCACCGACAACATAATATTAAGGCGCCAATTTCATGTGAAATAATATTTGATGGAGGTTAGTCCTGTGGATCTTTCAAGCAAATAAAGAAGAATACGATTCTGAACTACTTTATGGAATTAATTTAAGAAAAAAGATAAATTTTTCTGTAGGTCAGTGTCCAAAGGAATCACCGCCAGGTTTCAACAGCTACGCACTATTATACCATTTTTATTTACTCAAAGCTTGAAAATTACGAACATCAACTAAATTGTGATCTCGGTGCATTGAACTTACGGGGGGTAGTGAGATTAAGCAATTCTTTCTTTCCAAATACGAGCGATATCTGTCATATGTAAATTTGTAATGCGAGCCTCGTTTGTTTCCGCCCACTGCAGTGCGTAACTGGAATATGAGCTGAGCTCTGTTGAGGTAAGGCTCCGTTTGAGAACCATCCAAAGGTTAATAAGGAAGAATTCCGTCAGTTAGAGAGAAGTGTTTCAAAGTTTTATTTCCGTTATTATTACTAAAGAAAACGAAGCAGGAATGTGGAAGGTGAGTCCTGTTGACATTTTGCTATTTAAGACACTATAACACTCCGAATAAATACTAATTCAGAAGTCAAACAACAAAAATCAGAGTTATATTTTCAAAATTTTCACAGGACTAGTTTCGATGGTTTTACCGAACCACCATCCTCAGCTGCAAAACCACAAATGAATAAGATAGGAAATAATGATTAGATAAGATAAGAAAGCCTGGACAAGAATAAGCAAGTGGCGCCATCTGTTGATAAAACCAGAACTAAAACATAATTTCTTTAAAGGCCGAAGGCAAAGATGAATTGGAATTAAGATCGTTAACTAGAACAGAAAGATGTTTTTGAATATGAAATGCCTCTAGAAAATCCAGATCTCCAATGGAAGATGTTTTTGAATAATTTTCGCAGCAGAAAAATTGAAAGTGTGATTTTTGGACCAACAATGTTGAGCAACGGAAGACTTCTGTGTTTCCTTTTTTCTAACATATGCCTCATGTTCCTTGACGCGAAATTTTAAGGCTCTCTTAGTTTGGCCAATGTAAATTAAACCACACTGGCAAGGAATCCTTTAAATACCCCAGGAATTCATATCCGGAATGGGGTAGTTGAGTATGGAACTCGGAATTGTATTCATGGGAGAATAAAAAAACCCGAAAGTTAGATTTCTGCAAAATATGTGCAACTTTATAGTTAAATGATGGAAAGAAGGGAATGACAACAGAATTCTTATACTCTCCAAAAACAAGTGTCTTTTAGCGCAGTGGCTAATCGCACCGACAGGCTAACAGGCTATTCACACCACCTACGTTCGCGTATGCGCACAAGGAGTCCAGGTACAAGGCAAGCGGTAGTGAGAGCGAAGGTTGTTAACCCTAACTCAGCAATAGAAGGGTTGTAATAGTTTCACCAGCAAGAGGGGGGGGGGGGGGGGGGGGGGGGGGGGGGGGGGGGGGGGGGGGGGGGGGTATGTTGAATAATTTTGCAAATAATTATCAGTTACAAAGACGAAGTCAAATCTATATACATGATAATGGTCAGAAATGATTAGATAAAATAGGGATTTAATGATGGTTCTAATTGCAAGCGAGGACGAGTAATAGTTTAAAAAAACTTTAGTGTATTGACAAAAGGCTACAGAAATTAATTAATTCTTTTATTTTAAACAGAGAATTTTATGCAAACTTAGACCCTAGTCGTTAAGCATTGGACTGTCAGAATTTAGTATTCAATAAGAAAACTTAGTGAAAATTATATATTCTTATATATTCATCACATTTTTTAGTATCCCTCATTTTTATAGGTTAAAATGCCATATTCAATATCGAAGTTATTTATGAAATAAAACTTTATAAATCTGATAAATATTTGTGTTATGCATTTGTTAAAATCTAAAGCTCTTACATTAAATTATTCTGTCTTTTAAATACAATCCCTTATTTATTTCAATTCAATTGATTAATGTGTTTGTACTAATATTCAAAGTTCTTTCAAGCACTTTTGTGTCCTGAAAATGCCAAGTATTTCTATAAAAAAAATAAGCAGGCATACAGAAATAATTCATTTAATGGTTCATATAATCGCTTTATTTCATGTCTAAATTTTCTACACAGAAATCCTCTGTATAATTTTTAGTATTTTTTATCGGACGAAGTTTTTCAAAGAGGAATGAATTAAAGACTTGATTGCGCAAAACACATCTTTAAAACTAAATGTATTCTAAGATGTACAAAAAATGTCAACACGATTTTGCCCCCCCTTCAAATCGGTCATTGAAACTATTCAAACCGTTCAGGAAAAGGATAAAATTGCGAACATAAAAATCGCCCTTTTTATATATACTTTAATAAAGGAATGTGTAAGAAAAGGACCCTTTTCCTTTCTAAGCTTTTGAAAGTCCCAACGCTTAAAAAATGATAACTACGCCAGGTAGAAACCCGCCTTTGACAACTCATGCGCATGCGTGATTAATGTTGTGCGAATAGCTTAAGGGCTATCGCACCGTGGTGCGAATAGCATCGGCCGTCTTTTAGTGTGTTGAGATGAGAATTTTATAACTGCTTGATTATACTGTTGTGGTGAAAAGCCCCTGTCAATAGCTATTGCTTTTTAATTTTATTTCTTCATCAAGGGCTAGTTTGGAGGAGCAAACTTGAAGAGCACGAAAACATAGGAATAAAATGAAGCTAACTTTTTTTAGTCGGATGACATGTTAAAGTGCGTGGAAGGTTTCGGTTGTCTTCCACCACACTTTAACTCATGTCATCCGCTAAACAAAGTTAGCTTCATTTTATTCCTATTTTTCCGTGCTCTTCAAGTTTGCTCCCTTTCACCAGATATAAATCATGTCATCCGACTAAACAAAAGTTAGCTTCCTTTTATTCCTATCTGCCCATTTTTTTTTTTTTTTTTTTAAAGAAATAAACACTTCTTTTGGGCAAATATATAAATTATAACATCAGTGAATAGCTGTTGAAATACATTTTTTTACATTTTCTCCAAAATTTAAAGGCCAAAGTTTACGTTGTTTACACATTTTACGTTGTTACACATTTACACATTTACACATTTTAAATGCTTGTAATTCCTTTAAAAATTAAAATATTTGAACTCGGTTTTTTGCATGTCATGTAGTTACATATATGGAATATTACGAGAGTAAAAAAAGTAAATTCAGTATTTTGATTGATTTTTAGCAATTTATGTCCACCGTCCCCTTAAATTTCTACAATACGAGACCGCTCGTTTTACGTTACGTTTCTTAGGACGTAGCGGACTTGGGACCGCCAGTACTAGCGGTGCTAAGTTCAGCTAGTGTAAACAGGCCTTAATGCTTAATCCAGCCTTCATGTTTTCCAGGGAATTTTTTACTAAATTCTTTTCATCTCTTTAAACTTGCCTGCCTCATGGAACAACGGTGTTCTCCAATCCCAAGGTCATTTACCTGCCTCCTGTTCTTCCACCCCCCCCTCGCAGGTTATAGTGTGCTTGTGATGTTAGCACAGTTAAGTGAATCAGCAATTGACGTCTCCTTTTTTAACCAATATATCTTCACCACATAAATATAAGCATATGAATTTTCGACTTTAGGTACTAATCAGTCGCATAATATCGTGCTGCTTGACAAACCTGCATTGCGAAGTTTCTGGTTGAGTTATCGGTTTCAAAATTGTTATCGAAAGCAACCTCTCGCCCGCTAAATTGCTTCAAAACCGTCTGCTCTCTGTTGTAGAGATTGATTTTTCTTAAGCGATCAAAACGTTCTACTTCTAGAAGATTTCTATATTGCATCTGCTATATATACGAATAAAACATGCCTCATATTGAAAATGACATCAAGTTAGATTTCAAAGACGTTTTGTTGAGGCCGAAGCGAAGTACTCTTAAAAGTAGAAGCGATGTAAGTAACGTTTTATTTCATGAAATAATGTATAGACAGTCAAAAGCTTTGTTTTTGCATTTCATACTTTAGGTATTTATTCTGAAGATGATTTTGATGCAGTTTTCTGTGTTAGTAACGTTTGCCTTATGACATTATGTATAAACAGTAAGTGTAAAGTTTTGCTTCATGAAGTAATATATATATTATAAAGAGCTTTGCTTTTGCATTTCACGCTTAAATAGGTAAAGCTATTGTAAAAATATTGTGCATTACTCAGGATACAGGAGCCGTTATTGCTACTAATTTGCAATATATTTGAATATTAATGGTATGATAATCATAGCTATTGGCCCTTTTCCTAATTTGAAATAGCTAAAGTTTTGTAGGGCTGGGAAAGTAGATGAACATATATACTAGTCATATTATTTCGAGGAATATTCCAATCAAGTTATTGTGAAATTTAATGGGTGAAACATAATAATATGTTTAAGCAACTAAAGAAGAAAAGTTGAATTTATTTCCATATGAGTGCATTAGAGAGATATTATACTCTATGTATTGAATGCTAGTAAGCAATAAGCATACTGAATTAATAAATTTCGTGTAATTAGAATTTTCATTTTGCTAGCTGATTTTTAAAAGAAAAAAAAAGTAAGAGTTCGAAGCTTTTTGCAGTATAAATATTTGTGTAATATTCATATTTTCAGAATATGTTTGTTTCACATGATTGAAGCTCGCAGTCTATCTGTACATTTCAAAATCCTGCATTGAGATCTCATTAAGATATTAAAACTCTTGAAGAATTAAATATCACCTAAGGAAATGTGATATATGTTGCAGTTTTTTTAATTTATATAATTTTCATTCTATTTAAAATTTATAATGACATATCTTTATGTTATGGACGTGGGAAATAAAATTATTTTCGACCTCGGTAACATTCTGTAAGAATGGGGATATATTTTATTTGTTCAACTAAAGTTATGTATACGCTTGTTAAATAATAATTGAATTTTTATAATAACTTTAAGATGAAATATTTTCCAATTTTTTAGGTGGACCTTTACCGAACTTTTAAGTTTAGAAATTCTGGAAAGACATATAATGGTATCCCCATTATTTCTTCAAACATGGATACAACTGGGACCTTTGAAATAGCTAAAGTTTTAGCTAAAGTAATTATAAAACTTTAAATTTTTTTATTTAATCTAGAACCGTAGTTTCTGATGTATTATTAATTATAATTGCATTTTGTCTGAACTGCTATCAGTTAATACTCTAGGCGAAATATATATAATTAAATGTATAATATTGAGATTGTAATACAGTACAAAGTCTTTAATCTGGACTCGCCGGGACTTCGGTGATTCCGGATTAGAATTTTTTCTGGATTATAGGTCATGAATTTAAATCTGGTAAGATGGCATGCAGAAATTATGAAATTAAAAACATGAAACCGTAATTTATGAAATAATGAGCAATTATGATCTAAAAGGTATCAAAATTTACAAAAAAAAGCTTAATATTTATTTGTTTACTTTATTAAACACTTCTTTCAACACACACATGCATAAAGTATACATTACGCATAGACAAAATTGCAACCAGAAAACTATTTTATATGCATTCGTGATATTTATAATGACGAGGAATTTGATTTAAATCATATAAAAGACGGAGTACATCGAAATGAAATACTACATTTAGTAAGGAATTATAAGCCGAATACAATAAAAACGTCTGTCCTGAAGATGAAGATAGTGCTGACAGATCAACTTCCAGTTCATTGCATGCCGCGACATTTGCCTGCCCCCCCCCCCCCCCCGCTGAGCAGCGTGAAATTGATAAACAGATTTCGATATGGTTAGAGAAACAAAGGATATGCTTTTATCCATTTTTGCAGCAATTCCACTTTTTGTTTGATGGATATCGAAACATGCTTTCGCTTTATAGATCCTTTGGCAGCTCTAAAATCAGAAACCCTTTTTGACATAATCAAAAGTTCAAGCTTACTTTTTATAAAATTGCTCTAACAGTCTTCAAAAAATAATAAGCCTTATCCAATTAGAAGATTAAGGAACAATGCAATCTGCAACATTAACTGAAATAGATAGATAATTTTAGCCTAGCTTATACCATCCGTTATACATTAAACGCGCATGCGCAGAAAGTTTGTAGCTTTTAGGTTCGGATTATGGACGTTCGGATTAAAGACTTTGTACTGTACTTATTTGCGGTAAAAGGAATTACCAGTTAAAGAAAGGATGTCTTTAATGAGGGACATTTTAAGGAGACTCGTGCAAACCTTGTGCAACCAATTTCTTTAACTCTTTGAAAGCAGGCCTTTGAGGAAGTTTCAATATTTCATTGTTTTAACTTTGTTAGTTTTAGAGTCATCGTGGAGTATCAGTTAAATGTAATGAGTGAGGTTAATTCAGATTGCTTAGCATTGTATAATTAACCCCTTAACTGCCGCCGGCGTATATATATGCCTTGCTCAGCCGATGCGTTAACTGCCCCAGATGCGCAGCCGATGCATTAACTTTGCGAATAATTTTAGGTGTAGCAGCGCAAAGCAAATGATAGCAGTTTGGAAGGACGTATATATACGCCTGGGGCAGTTAACGCATCGGCTGAGCAAGGCGTATGTATACGCCCGCGGCAGTTAAGGGGTTAAATTGAACTAAAGTGAAAAATTATGCAGTGTACTAACTAAAAAGTGTTCACATACTTAGATTATATATTTAGATTTGTGTAAAAGTTACTTTGAAAAATAATTTGTAATTTTAAATTAGGAAAGCTGTGGTTCACTTTGATGCACCCCTTCCCTTCAGTTATCTTGATTCTTTTTCAAAATGGTTTACATAATCTATTTCTTTACCAAAGTTTACCATTAACAATGCTACTAATCAGTCCAAATTATAGAAAGAATTCATACTGTTAGCAGTGATGCAAATCAATCAAAATTGTGAAAATGATTAAACTAATTCAGATGGATTTATTAATTAATAAGGAATGATATTTTTTGATGAAAAGAAGAATATCTTATTTTTTTAAAGCTTCTCTTTTATTAGCACCTAAAATAACATAATGCATTGTTAATTTTCTGTACAGCAAGTATTGCTTTTTAAATAAATACCTTATGGTCTGTCTATATCACAATTTTTATTGAATGCAAAATGTAGTAGTGTAAATATGGAATACTCTTATTTTTCTAATGTCATTTCTGCATTGTCATCTTAAGTTGCAATTATTTTTTTTCAGTCATGTAGATGTAATGAGGCCATCTAGTAGCAGTTTTTTGTTGTTTCATCATAACTGCTGTGCGTGTGTTTAATTCTCTTTATAGTTGCATAGAATTTTACATATTTAAAATATGCTTTTTTTTTGCTCTTCCATTATTTTATTATAGTTTATTTTAGAATTCAGACTCATTTTATTACAGACATTTGCATATTACACTTTAATAATAATAATAATAATAATAAAAACTGTTATCATTCTGCATTTTCTACTTTACCAACTTGAAAAATTGGTTGATTTAGGTTATTTGAGTATAGCAGATTGCATGAGGGTTATCAGCCTAAGAGGATGGGCATTTTCTTGAAAGACTTGTAATTAAACTGGCTGGTTTCACATTATATATGTGGAGAACCATGGAAATGTACGTGCAGCCAGCTTGTTCACCAGGACTTGAGAAGCCAAGTAGAATGACATGTGTTCAGTGGTCTTAATCACTTGGCCTCTGGTGGGTAGAATTTGTGAAGATTAATAGAAATGGACAATATATTTCATATTTTTGTAGAATATGAAGTTAGTAATAGGAATTGCTTCAAAAAGCTGTATGTTTAATTGCTCTTAATAGTTCTTCTTTATTAGTGTTTCTTGGAAAATTATGATTTTAAAATTAATTTTTGTGAGCATAATTTTGACCTAAAGTTAATAAGTAAGCTGATATATACATATTTTCCTATGAACTATTTTTTAAATATAAAATATGTCACCAAACATTGCAAATTTAGTGCTAGTAATTGATGAGTGTGATGCCACAAGGCAGTCATAAGATCATCACTTTGGTTTTATGTAACCTCGATGTTCCGTTGAACTAGTTTAATTTTTGTGGAAAAGGATTTAACTTCTCTTTTTCTTTTGCATTTTGAAAAACTGATTAGGGTCTTACCTTGTATAGCAGAGCAAGCAGTATAATATTTACATGACTAGTTATAGTATTATGTGTACTCAAAATAATGAAAGACTGTAAGATTTGGCAAAATATTGCAATAATTGAGATTCATTTAGATTCATATTTAAGCCAATTTAAATGATTCTGGATTCACTAAATTTATATGGTTGCTGGGTTCAAATTCATATGGTGCTTGGTTATATGCTTGCTATTTAACCCTTTATTTCCCTACAGGAGTTTAACATCTCATCAATAAAGTCCCTCAATTATATTCCTACAGAACTTCTAGATTCCAATTTTAAATTAAAAAGAAAAATGAAATAAAACTTGTAACATTTTTGTAAATTAATGTGAGACGTTTCTCTTGCATAAAGAAACATAATAAAAAAAGTGGAACTACTCTTATTTGTGCCCTCGGGTCGCCAAATTTCTTGTCAAAAATGTTTGGCGAGAAACTCCACAGTGCCATATTACTATCTAAATTTTTTGTCTACATTTCAAACTTTAAGTCTAAAATGTCTCCAAAAACATGGTTTTTGCACATGCAAAAACCATGTTTTGAACACACAATTTAAGCTAAAAATCTGATACAAAAACAAAAAATTTAGATAGCAAAAACGTAAAGTTTCTAACCAAAAATATTTGACAAGAATCCATGTACACAGCGATATGTTTTAACTTAAACATCTACGACTTGCACAATCTAGGCAGCGAAAGAATCTATGAACTACGTATACCTCGCTTTAATAAATTAACGTAACAACAATAAATTTCAAAGAATACCATGTATTCTGTTTCAACTTCAAAAAACATCTACGAATTGCACAATCTAGGCACTAAGCAATAATCAACAAAATAAATTAAAATAAATTTTAAACAATTAAAAAACAACAATAACAACAGAAATTCATACTAAAAAACAAGGAACATAACATTCTACACAATAAGAATAAAATAAAATGCACTTACCATGAATGAATGCTTTTTCGAAAAGCAGAAATACCAATTTCATGCCACCTTTAACATACCACCACGTAATCACTATCATATTTATATATGACAGTCAGACACACTATCCAGAAAATTCATACTATGGTTCACGAATAAATGTTCAAAACCGTCTTTTCCTAAATCCTTGTAAGATTTTTAGCCATCCGAAAAAATAGTTGTACAAGGCTCAATCCACTCTTTAATACACTGCATCAGTACTTCTATGATGCATAGCCACTAAAAGTAATCTCCCAGACCCTCTTGCAACCACGTCTCTGATTGCAACATTGGCCATTTCAAAACACGCACGACACAAACCAAGGAGCAATAAAACACTCTAGCAAAAGAGTATTCAATGTCAAAAGGGTTGCCATATACAACGCGCAATCGCACCAAAAACCAGCGCAGAACACATATCGCCACATTTGGTGATCTTAGGGCGCATATAAGAGTAGAGCCAAAAAAGTTTCAAACTCTTTTTCAAAAAATAAAGTAATTTTGGACATAGAGAGTTAAATAACATTAAGGATTTTTAGCTGCCAGAATAATTGGTATTGGTTTGAATAGATGTTTTGGTATTTTTCCGTTTCGCCAATGCAAATCTCGCCAAGCAGACTTTATTGGCGACAACACACAATATACGCATAAAAATTTTTACAAATGTTAGTTCTAAAAATTTTTTATTTTGAAAGTATAAACATTTTAATGTCATTTAAAGTTTAAAAAAAAAGCCAATAAATAAAGACAATAAATTTGTAAAAAGACGTTAATTTAAGAATTTACTAGGCTTTCATGCTACAGCATCCTGATTCGCCGATTCACATCACATGACCCCAAGTGATCTCATCTCGCATAAATTAGGCTAAAAAAATCTAATTCTCTCCATAATTATCTACATTAATTTCAAGTTAAAGCTTACTTTTAAATACAAATTTAAATGCAGGAATTATTTCAATTCGCGTGAATAGCTTACTCAGAAATTGCATAAAACCACAGTGTTTT